CTAAAAAAGACCAATAAAATAATAAAATAAAATAAAATAAAAATTAGGAGGTAGGAATAGGCTAGGCAGTTAGGGTTAAAAGACCTCAAAGAAAAGTAGCCAGTTTCTTGCCTAAAAGTGAAAATGTCCTTGGGCCTCTTCGCAACAATATCTGTTCCAAAGGCCAAAAATGTCAAAAGTATTTGGCCAGTTAGGATGGCTTCTCCCCACATTCTAAAGGCAAATTCTCAGTCTTTATCAAGGGACACAGTAAAATCACTGTTCTGTGTCTGCACTGATAGGTGTCATCACCTAGTTTAAACAGAACACACAAAACAAAACCTTACCTAAGGAATTTCTTTCTGAATAGTGCTAGGCAGAAAGAAAGAAAGAAAGAAAGAAAGAAAGAAAGAAAGAAAGAAAGAAAGAAAGAAAGAAAGAGAAAGAGAGAGGGAGAGAGAAAGAAAGAAAGAAAGAAAGAAAGAAAGAAAGAAAGAAAGAAAGAAAGAAAGAAAGAAAGAAAGAGAAAGAAGAAAGAAAGAAGAGAGAGAAAGAAAGAAAGAAAGAAAGAAGAGAGAGAGAAAGAAAGGAAGAAAGAAAGAAAGAAAGAAAGAAAGAAAGAAAGAGGAAAGAAAGAAAGAAAGAAAGAAAGAAAGAAAGAAAGAAAGAAAGAAAGAAAGAAAGAAAGAAAGAAAAAGAAAGTTGTCAGAAAAAAAAGTTGTCAGAAAAAAAGTGATGGGGAGATATAGGAGGTGTTAGAGGGGAGGAAGTGGGCATGGAGATGATCAAAATACCTTGTTTGCCTGTATGAAATTCTCAAAGTTTTTTTAAAGTTAAAAAGAAGGTGGCTTTCCCACCAATGTTCATGTCTGAACTCTTGGTTTCAAGTGTGGCTATTCTGTGGTGGAAGGATCTTTAAATCTAATACAAGATGATTAGGTCAATAGGAAAATCACTCTCCTAGATAATAATTCTAGGACTTCTGAGACCCTGGTTCTCACTGGAGGTGCTGGTACAAAACAATGCCCACAACTCACGGTGTCCTTTCTGCACGTGGACATTTCCTTTCTGCTCCTCTACCAATTGTGACACAGCAAAGACCACCATCACCAGAGGAAGAGCAGGTGGAGCTGCCTGAATTGGGGCTTTCAGCTTCCAAAACTGAGTTTAGTTTTTCTTTATAATTTCCCAGGGTCAGTTATTAAGTTAGAGCACCAGAAAATGCACCAAGTATTGAATGCAGAGCTGGAGTCTGAGAATGGAATCACGTCGTCAATCAGTTGGCCTTGGGATGGAGATAGTATATTGAATTATCTGAATGGGTTAGAGAAACTACAGCATCTCATTTAAGGGAAGGATGAAGATAATAAATGTGATGCGGTGTGAGATAAACTCAGCATTCCTGGCTCTGAAAATGAAGGAAGTGTCCACAAGTCATGGGATGCAACAGGGCTTTATAATCAGGGAGAGAAAAAGAATGGATTCCCTTCCTGGAGCCTTCAAAAGCAATGCAGCCCCTCAGCGTACGACTCATGCAAGTGGCCTCCAGAATAGTGAGAAAGTACACGTATCTTGTGCTGGATACTTTTAGTGTCAAATTGACACACCTGGGTTGAGGGAGACTCAATTGGGGAATTGCCTTCATTGGACTGGCCTGTGGCCATGTCCATGGGGCATCTTCTTAATTGTTGAGTGATGTGGGAGGGTCCAGCCCACTGTGGGTGGTGCCACCCCTGGGCAGGTGGGTCTGTGTTGCATAAGAAAGCTGGCTGAGCAGGGTTCAGGGGAGCTGGTCAGTAAGCAGCGTTCCTCCATGGCCTGTGCTCCAGCTCCTGCCTCCAGGTTCCTGCCCTGAGTTCTTACCTTGGGCTCCCTGATGAACTGTGACCTGGACGATGTAAGCTGAATAAACCCTTTCCTCCCCAAGTTGGTAGTGGTCAGAGTGTTTTGTCACAGCAATGAAGGAACAAACCAGGACAATGCTCTTTTTACAAAACATAATATTTTTAATCCCACCTTCGGGATCATTTGTCACAGAAGCAATTAGCAGCTAAGAGCAATCTCCGTTCAATAACCAATTAGGAAGTGAAAAGGGGAAGGAAATCAGAGATTTTCCAGAGATCAGTGAGACCAAGATACCGATGCTGGACTCAAAGCTGCCCTGTGTGGGCTGGGACAAAACAGAAGACGAAGACACAGTAAGAGAACCACTCAGGGGTGCTGCTTGAGGGAACTCCTATCCCCTGCCTGATAGTTGTTATCAAATCCTTCTAGAAGATTCCACTTCTCCCCAAAGCATGAAATGAGTCCAAAGAGACCCTGAAACCGAAGCCTGTGGTATATATTTCACATCCACCAGTCCAGGACAAGCCCGGTGGGACAGAGCCTGGTACTGATAGGTACAAATGATGGCAGGAAGACAGAATGCTGCAGAAGTGACCTGAGAAACTGCTAAGGCTGGAGAACCTCAGCTGCTGCAGGCCGGGAGGTGGGATGAGCCAGTGTGTCCCCAAGCTCACACCTTCTTTTATCATATGACTCTACAGGAAGCCCCTTGCCTCAGCTCAACCTGCTCCCCAGTAAAATCAGGAAGGAAACTTGCATAATTCTTCCTTACCCCAGGAATGCAGCTCCTCCATTCCACAGACAGAGAAGTTCAGAATCACAGAGTTGGCCCACAGACACCCTGAAATCTCATTTCTACATCAATCTACTACAAAAAGCAGCCTGAATAGTAAAACATACTTTCCCACGGTTGTTCCTGCACAGTGTAGGTCCAAAGTGACCCTCAAACTGAAAGTGACACTCACACGTCAGACAGCTGCCCGTGGGGAAGTGCAGGGAGGGAATCTGTGTGCCCTACGCAGGGAAGTAGATTGGTGCTCACAGTGGGTACCAGGCACTGAGAGTAGATATCCCAGTGCCCACCTACCGATAAGGGATAGGGCAGTCACAGCTTCCAACACTGAGCTGGACCAGCAATGCCCATTCACCCTACAGGGAGAGAAAGACTTCCTGCAGTGACCCTTGAGAGTTATAGGCCAAGTGGCCACTCAGCGTTAGTCTCTGTTGGTGGACACGGAGCGTTCCACATTTGGGAACTTTCATTTTTCATTTCTCTTTTTCTGTTCATGACCACGATGATCTCACAGTTTAGATATGGACTTAATGGACCATCTCTGAACAATGAGAGCAGAGGGGAGCCCTTTCATCAGAACCACATCAGCCCATGTTGCGCCTTGTCTGAAAATTAACCAACGCTGACTTCTCCCTGTCTCCAGCACCCCTTACCCCATAAACATGCTGAAGAATGAGTTAGAAATCAGCAGAACAGGAGGAAGCTGAGGGTGTGAGACAAGGTTCTAATGCTCAGCCTGGCACAGCAGTTGGGCATGAGCAGGCATTAAGTGGAAATCGGCACCTCCCAGGCATGCGAATTCTGACCAAGGAAATCGGGGAACTGAGGGGGCAGGAATGTCTGAGAAGGTTTTTCTTAGGACTATAGAGCTGTTTTAATTATGTTGGTAAGAAAAGTAAGATGCACCTACAGAGGACTGCCGCAGACAGACCATACAACCAGAGCCATGTGAGCCGCCATGTTTCCCTCCCTGTCTCCCTGTGTCTCCTCTGTGCTCATCCCCAGGACAGGAACGCCACGTGGGTGTCTCCACTGCTCTGCATCCTCCCTGCAGCACAAACCTGCATCGTCCCTGCCGTGGAAGGCTTTCTCAAATCATGGAATCACCCTGCCCTCTTGAACTCTTGGGATCTGTGGTTATGCACAGTGGATCTGCACAAGATCCGGCCCCTTAGCATGTTCCTTCATGGGGGAAAGGCTCATGAAGCTGAATAATCCCTGAGAGTCAAAAGGGAGTTGAAAGTTGTGTGGGGATGAGCTAAAGGGATGGCTCAGCGGTTAAGAGCAATGGCTACTCTTGCAGAGGACCCGGGTCTAATTCCCAGCACCCACATGGCATCTAACAACCGTCCCTAACTCCAGTTCCTGGGGAGCCCAACCTGCTTCCGACCTCTGAAGGCACTGCATGACATGGGTGCACTTACATACATGTAGTCAATACATTCACCACTAAAATATAAATAATTTTTTTAAGTTGCGTGGGGAAATGGTTTTCTGTAGTGATGCAGCTACCAATAAGTTGTTCATGCTCCTGTAAGTATAAAACTTACCTCTCCACCAAGCTGGACTTGGGTAGAATCATCTCTTGTTTCTGTCATTAGTGCTCTATCTGGGATGAACAGGCATTAGTTCATGTCTTCCCAGTATAAGTCCACACAACTTCCCAAAACATCTCCAGAGCCGGGGACTGACTGACCACGATGAGGACCCAGTACTCTGTGAATGGTCTGGGTGAAGGGATGAGGGAGACTCAGTGGGGAGGATCATCAGAACAGGAGAACACCAGCCTTGATCTACCCTCTCACTTGACAGGTGCAGGCTTAGAAAGATATCAAGTCTATTTGGAACTGTTTCCTGGACCTTGGTGACAAGACAACAGTTTGGACAGATGTCGGTGGGCTGTAGGAAAATACCACTTCTGTAAGAAGAGACTACAGTCAGACATGGGCCTGGAATCCCAACACACAGGAGATTGGGAGAGGAATATCAGGACTTTGAGATTGCCAGGATTCCACGTATGACCATCTCAGGACAAAAGAGATGAAGCTACACACTCTAGAGCCCCACCCGAGTCACAGCACTGGGGAAACTGAAGCCAGGTGCCTAGGGAGATGAGTTCCCCTTTCTGAGAGGCTGCTTCAGTGACAGCCTCATGACAGGAAGGGAGGACCCAACAACCACCAGAAGCCACTCTGTGAGTCTGCCCATTTAGCAAGAGGACCAACCATCTGCGAGGTTGTAGCTAGGTAGAAGATTCCATGGCTCCCACCCTCACAGCCCTGTTCTGTCTTGGTGAGATGTGAAGATGGGGAGGGAGAATTCTAGTCTGAGGATCCCACCCCACAGCCAGGGCCTGGCCCAGAAGGACATCTCAGGACACCTAGGATGGGAGGATCTGCTCAGGCCTCAAGGGCAAACCTCTCACAGAGAACTTTCTTCCAGGAATATTTCTGGGCCCCAGGAACTCATTGATGGCAGGTGAGTGTGACCTCAGCTGTCCCAGGCTGCATGTCCTTAGTAGGTAAAAGGGTCACTCGTGGGCTGTGGGTGAACATGGAGAACAGCATGCGTGGCTAAGGCCAGGACTGCCTGACTGGCCCTGCTCTGAGAGCTGGAATCTGAGGAGGACGTCCTGGGACCCAGCCTCTGATTTCCTTGCAGGCACCCTCTCTAAGCCCATACTCAGGGCAGAGCCAATGACTGTGGTCCCCACTAGGACCAAGGTGATCATCTTATGTGAGGGAACCTTAGATGGCCAGGAGTACCGTCTCTATAAAGAAGGGCTCTCAAATCGCTGGATTATGCAGAAGACACCAGAGACTAGAAACAAGGCCAAGTTCCTCATCCCATCTGTTGAATGGCAACATGCAGGGAAATACTACTGTTACTATCGGGCTTCTGCTAGATGGTCACCACGCAGTGATACCCTGGAGCTGGTGGTGACAGGTGAGAACATTCAGGGGTTCCTGGCCCAGGCCCTCAGGTAAAGGTCCTCCTCAAAGGTGTCTTCTTACAGCCCAGGAAACCATGTGCTGTGTGATCTTTAACATACTGCCTCCTTCTCTCCTAGGATTCTATGATGACAAACCCAGTCTATCAGCCCTGCCCAGCCCCGTGGTGGCCTCCGGAGGAAACGTAACCCTGCAGTGTGTCTCACAGCAGAGATATGGCATCGTTCTGACTAGGGAAGGTCACAATTTCTCCCGCTTCCTCAAAGCACAGGATAAATACACTGGACAGATTCTGGCACAATTCCACGTGGGTCCTGTGATCCCCAGTGAGAGGTGGAGGTTCAAGTGCTACAGCTATTATACAAAGTACCCTCAGATATGGTCAGAACACAGCAATACCCTGGAGCTCCTGGTCTCAGGTGAGGAAGGCCAAGACACTCTGCTGAATGGCATTAGGTCAAGCACGGATTCCCAGGGAACCTCTGTGTGTGACGGGTCAGGGGAGCGAAGGCTTCTGTGCACACTGACAGTGAACAAGGAGACGATGGGGCCCGAGATAAAGGAACAAAGGCAGCAGTGAAAGTGAAACCTGGGAGTCCAGGGGAGACGGGGCTTCATGTGGCCCTACTGTCCCTCTGCCGCTCAGGGATCAACTTAAGTGTTATTTCCAAGTGTGACCTTCGCTGTGCCACTGTCCAAACAGAGCTACCTCCTTCTATCTTGCCTTTTTGCAGGGACCCTCCAGAAACCCACCATCTGGGCTGAGCCAGACTCTGTGATCACCTCAGGGAGTCCTGTGACCATCTGGTGTCAGGGGACCCTGGAGACCCAAATATACATTCTGCATAAAGAGGGAAGCTCAGCACCCTGGAACAGACAAAACCCACTGGAGCCCAGGAACAAGGCTAAGTTCTCCATCTCGTCCATGACACAGTACCATGTGGGGAAGTATCACTGCTATTCTTACAGTCCAGATGGCTGGTCAGAGCGCAGTGACACCCTGGAGCTGGTGGTGACAGGTGAGAACACTCAGAGGTCCCAGGACAAGGCTCTACTCTCAGGAAAAAGGTCTTCCCTCAAAGGTGTCCTCCCACAGCCCAGCCCTGGGGACAACGTGCTGTGTGATCTCATTTAACATGCTGAATCCTTCTCTCCTAGGAGTCTACCATAGCAAACCCAGTCTGTCAGCCCTGTCCAGCCCTGTGGTGGCCTCTGGAGGAAATGTGACCCTCCAGTGTGTCTCACAGCAGGAATATGAAGGGTTCATTCTGACTAGGGAAGATCAGAAGTTCGCCAGCCCCCTCAAAACACAGTATACAAACTCTGGACAGTCCCAGGCCCTGTTCCTTGTGGTCCTTGAGATACCCAGCAAGGGGAGGACCTTCAGATGTTATGGGCACTACAAAAATAGCCCACAGGTGTGGTCAGAGCCCAGTGACCCCCTGGAAATACATGTCTCAGGTGAGAAAATCTCATCATTGACCTGGTCATTTTTGGATACTTGAAAACTTTTTCATGAGCCCTGCTCCCAGGAGAGTCCCAAGTGGGAGGGTATTTGAGGAGAACTCTTGGGTCCTGAGCCAGAGTCCCAAGTAGGAGAAGCAGTGACACATTCAGGGAAGGATAGATGGGGACATCTATGTCAGGAACCAGCTCCTTCAGCTCTAACCCATATTCCTTCTAGGTCTGTCCAGTAAGCCTTCCCTGATGACCCAGCAAGGCCTTGTCCTATCCCCTGGAGAGAACCTGACCCTCCAGTGTTGCTCTAACATCAGTTATGACAGATTTGCTCTGTCCAAGGATGGAGAAACTGATCTCCCCCAGGTCTCTGGCCATCAGCCCCAGGCTGGGTTGTATCAGGCCAATTTCACCCTGGGCCCAGTGAGTGGCTCCAGTGGGGGTCGGTACAGATGCTATGGTACACAAAACCTATCTGCTGAGTTGTCAGCCCCAAGTGACTCTCTGGACATCCTGATCACAGGTGAGGAATCCAGTGGGTCAAGTCAGAAACCCAGACTCTGCACAGGCCCTGGAAGGGGAACCCAGGGATTGATGGTCATGGTTATGGTAGGGAACTCAGGGAGGAATGGACAGGTAGACAGGAGAGTGGGGGAAGGGCAATCAAGGAAACAGGTTCAAATACAAGAGTACAACCCTCACCCATCCCTCTTCTCTCTAGGACAGCTCCCTGTCACACCCTCCCTCTCAGTGCACCCAGGCCCCACAGTGTCCTCAGGACAGAACGTGACCCTGCTGTGTCAGTCACGGAGCCAGATGGACTCTTTCCTTCTGTTGAAGAAGGGGGCTGTCCATCCCCAGCTGCACCAAAGATCAAACTTCCAAGATCAACAGTATAAGGCCGAATTCTCCATGGGTGCTGTGACCTTGGCCCTCGGGGGCACCTACAGGTGCTATGGTGCTCGAAGTTCATCCCCCTACCTGTTGTCACAGCCCAGTGCCCCTGTGGAGCTTGTGGTGTCAGGTGAGAGGACCCCGACATCTGTGAGCTGAAGGGGTGACTCAGGGTCCTCCACCAGGGAGGGATCTTGGCTGAGATGGGAGTGAGTGGCCCCTAGGGAGGGTCAGTTGGATGAGGATTCACCACTCAGAAATACAGAGAAGCTAACAGTGCTTCTTCAAGTAATGCACAGTCCACCTCCTATATTGGAATCTAGAAGGTTCCAGGTCAGCAACAGTGGAGTTCTGGGGAGGCTGCGTGGCAGAAATACATCAGTGAGATGAAATAGAGCCTCCCACATCTCACTTCTGTCGCTTTCCTGAGATCCTCAGGGCCCATCCCAACAGCTGGTGCAGGGTAGTGTCCTCTACCTAGGGAGTCTGCTCTGTTCTAGGTTATCACTCTCAGTCCATCTAAATCCTGGTTCCTACATCAGTTTTGCTTGTGTCCAGGACCAGGTGATCTAGCAAGGACCTGAACGGGGTCCCCAGATGACCAGAGGTTTAAAGACTGGGCTTCAGAAGGGGACATCCAGACAGCTATTGGGGCTTAGCCTGGGGAGGAGCAGCTAGGGTGAAGTAGTGAACAGGGAGTCCAGCATCCCCACCTTCCCATCCTACCCTATCAGGCCCTAAGAACCAATCCTGCACTCCCACGGATTCAGGCCCCAAGAGAGCTAGCTGAGGACTCTGTTGATAGGAAGGTTCCAGAGGATGCAGAGCTAGTTATGGGGTGGGGGCATCCTCTTCTAGGGACACTGACTTGGACAAGTTGCTCTGTTTGTGCCTCGGCTTCTCCAGATATGAAGGAGAAAAGCTTGGGTCAGATTTTTAATTTTCATTATTGATCGTAACCTCACCTGGCAGAGGAGGCCACCAGGACCCATTTCTGCAGTCTCATGATGATGCTGTCGTTGTGCAGGGACAGGGCACAGGGCCATGGCAGGAATTCAGGCTGCTTTGCTCCAGCTTGTGGGGCTCGGCTCTGACAGATCGGTCAAAGCTGGAGGTCAGATTCTCTTAGATCAACCCCAGCTCGCCACTTCCAGCCCTGTGACCTGAGACACGAGATCTGTCTGCATGGCAGGGAGGCATCATGTGTTAGATGACTGCGGGGTCATCAGACAAAGACCCAGCTTGTCCTAACACACAGCAGGTGCTGAAGAAAGCAGCATCCTTCATTCATGATGTCACCTGTGCTCCAGGTCTGAAAAGTTACCAGAAGGTTCCAATTGCTGTCTCAGTGGTCTTCCTCCTGCTGCTCCTCCTCCTCCTCCTGCTCCTCCTCCTCCTCAGACAAAGGCATCAGAACAGACACAGGAAAACAGGTGAGTAGAGTGTGAGTGACCTGGGCCCAGGAGGTGGTGGGCTCCCTGTGTGCCATCCAAGTAGAAGCTCAGGGCGCAAGCCGCAGGGAAACCAGCCAGACTGGGGCATGTCAGCTTAGAAACACTTCTGCAGAATCTCAGATCAGAAACAGGTGATCTCAATCCCTGAGTAAATGTTAGGTGTTCTGTGATCGTTTACATCTCCTGCAACATTTGTACCAAGTGTAATGTTCCCTTCCTTCCCTGATGGTGCCTGGGGGAGGGGCTTCCCAACTCTTGGCTGAGACTCCTTCCTCTCAAGTAGGTCAAAGAGAGTTGGACTTGCAACCTCCTGCAGGAGCTGCAAAGCCAGTGCCCAGGGACAGAGGTCTTCAGAAAAGGTATCTCATGTCCAAGGACCTAGAATCCCACCTGCCCGATGCCCCTCACTGTCAACTGACACCCCATTTTCTCCCCAGCTCCAACCCAGCTACAGCCATCCAAGAAGAAGTCCTGTGTAAGAGAGGGCTCTGGGGAGGGATCACAGGGGTGGAGGGGAGGGTGTGATATGAGCATTCGGTGGGACTGAACCCAACACTATAAATCTAGGGTCATCATCACACTCCCCGGTTCTCTGCTCCCAAATGGGACAGGTCAAGGCTCTGAGGGATGGAACAATCCCAGGTACTCTGGACAGGAGATGACCCCCTTGTATTGACCTTGCAGATGCTTCTGTGAAGAACACACAGCCTATGGACAGCATGGAGCTGGACACTCAGGTGAGACCTCTGTCTTAGGGCCCAGTTTACTCAAGAGAGCAACCTCTGTCATCCCACCTTTCAACCTTCAGCAGCATCTACAGTTGATACCTGCTTCTGGAAACACCTGTGTCCTGCATGCTCCGACTCCATCCCTTTGTTACTGGCCTATGACCCTGTGGCCTCTCCTTTCTGTCCATTTTCTGGCTCCTCAGCATCTGTGTGGCTGTTAGCATGTTCCAGATCTCAAAAGGACACATGAGGGACTGAGGTTATAGCTCAGAGGCAGAGTGACTCCCTGGGATGTGTGAGGCACTGGGAAAAAAAACAATCTAAACACGAATAAGTGAGATGCCATGTGCCTGAGCCCCTTCCTCTCGTTCACCCAGCCACCCACAGGGAGCTCCCTCCTTTTCTTTCATTTTTCTGCGAGTATGTTTATGTAGGTGTTGGTGCATGTCCACATATGTGTGCATGCATGTGGAACTGCAGGTCAACTTTTAATGACTTCCTCAATTTCTGTCGACCTTACTTGATGAGGCACAGTCTCTCACTGAACCCGGAGCTCACCAGTTCAGCTAGACCGGCTGATCAGAACGCTCCAAGGCTCCTCCCATCTCCACTTTCCCAGTGCTGGGATCACAGGCATGTTCCATCTTGCCCAGCATTTTTTTTAAAAGTTATTGAAATTTTGAGATTTTTATACAATATAATTTGATGGTACTTAGATCCCTCCTCTGCTACATACACACACACAAACACACACACACACACACACACACACACATATATATATATATATATATAGAGAGAGAGAGAGAGAGAGAGAGAGAGAGAGAGTCTAATTTGTGTCTCCAAATGTCCTTTAGTGTAGGTCAATCCACTGGAACCTAATTAACCTATCAAGAGTCCACCCTTAAAAGGGACTTTCTCTCCCCCTCCCAGATACCATCTGTTGCCAGATTTTCCTTAGGTGGGGTTGTGGTTTCTTATCCACTTCCCCATGTCTCTGCTGAGATTTTGTCCAAGCTGAGTCTGCATGGAACTTATGTATACTGTCACCATTGCTGTGAGTTCATATGCATAACTGACAAGCTGTCCGGAAAATTCTGTTTCCTTGTGGTCATTTGAAACCTCTGGCCCTTACAATCTGTCCACATCCTCTTCCACAATGATCCCTGAGCCTTGGGAGGCAGAAGCTTGATACAGGAGTCCTATTCAGGGATAAACACTCTACAGCCTCCTGTTCACTGCTCATTGGCCAGGCATGGGTTTCTGTGCTAATCACCATCTGCAGCACAAGGAAACTTCTCTGAAAGATTCAGTAATCCATGGGTGTAACAATAAGTCTTTATGAGTCACTTTAATATGAAAATTATTTAGTAGAAAACTAATGTTAGGCTCTCTCCTATGTCTTGTGACCTGTCTATCCTGAGGTTCCTAAGCCTTATATCAATGTCAGGTATGGGCTCCATCCTACGAAACTGATTAAATCCAACTGGAGAGTGGTTGGTTACTCTTATACTATTGCACTTGTGAGCATATCTTGCCAGGCCAGCTGTTGTTCACATGTTTCACTGCTGGGTAAGGCTGATGATTATTTTTCTTTTCAATAACATGCAAGAGCACCTTCTAGCACTATGAACCCTAGCCAGTAGAGATGAGGTTCTGAAGTTAAAACCAACTTGATTTCTCCTTGTTTGCTCTAAGTTCTTGGATGTAGTATCTTCATCAATAGGATCTTACCATCAAGTTCTGGTGGGTAACCAAGAGCAGGATTGATTAGTTTTTTTTTCTTATGTGGGTGCCAGGGATGAACTCAAGTCCTCATACTTGCATAGCAATGACTTTACTGATTGAACCATCTCCCTAGACCCTGGGCTCCCTCTTAACCAAGTTCCGTGTAGGGGCTTCAGATACAGCAGGCAGCAGAGCTCCTCACACACTGGGGACAACCTGAAGTGTGAGAGACAGCGTGGTAAAACGCAGAGTGAAACCTGGCAAAGTGTTTGAGAGAAATGAAACAACGTGGGTGGAGCATGGGGCAGAGTGGGCCAGTATGAATTACAAAGGGGACCCGGACAGGCATGTTCTGAGGGTAAGTCTGGGTGCAGAGACCCACACAGGCATCTAATGGACCAGCACCTGCAGGCAGGGGACAGTGGGGACAAGCAAACTGAGTTAGAGATGTGGCTTATCATATAGATGGGGTTTTGACTGTAGCCAATGGAGTGAGGGTCAGAGAGCCAGGATCAGAGGTCAGCAATGCAGGAAGGAGACCACTAGGTACCACCAAGTCCTCAGAAGTCCCTGAAGATCCCATGAGGAAGTATACTATGACTTGCATTTCCAAAGGATCATTCTGTTCACTCTGTGGAAATCTTGCTGAAGCTCTCCAGGGGAACCAGGAGACACTGTGCCTGTCTCACTCTCTCCCTCCTGCAGAGCCCGCCTGAGGAAGACCCCACGAAAGAGATGTACGCCCAGGTGAAACCTTCCAGATTTGAGAGGTCAGGAGCCACCTCTCCTTCCGCGATGTCAAGGGAATTACAGGATTTGAAGGACAGAAAGGCAGAGAAAAACAGAGTGAAGGGCACTCAGGTGAGTTCTGCCTACCTCAGGGAACAGGGCCCCAACACTGAGCACCTACCTCCCCTCTCACCCTCTCCCACTCCAGGCTGCTGCATCTGAGGAGCCCCAGGATGTGACCTATGCCCAGCTGTTCTTCATGACACCAAGAGAGGGGCAGAAGAGACTCCTGCCTCCCAGGCAGGGAAGCCCCAGCTGAGACCAGGGAGCGCCCTGCCCTAGTGTTCACAGCCCAGAAAGACTCTGGCCCCACACCCCACAGAGGGAGACTCAGGGGTGTCTGAGGGACACAATCTAACCCCAGGTGGACCCCATCTTGACAACCACACAGTAGAATATTATTCATCTGTTAAGAAAAACAAAGTGATGAAATTTGCAGGTCAATGAATGGAAGTGCAAACAATCACCGTAAGTGACGGAACCCAAACAAAGGTCCCAGACCTTCTATTGTGTGAATGTACCACACTTTCCTTATTCATTCATCAGTTGATGGACATCTAGGTCGTTTCCATTTCCTGGCCATTGTGAATAGAGCAGCAGTGATCATGGATAAGGAGGTGTCTCTGTAGTAGGACAGAGTCCGTTAGGGATATGCCCAAGACGATATGGCCGGATCCTGTGGGATACTTACTTTCAGCTTTTTGAAAAACCTCCACACTGGGACTGAAGAGATGGCTCAGAGGTTAAGAGCACTGACGGCTCCTGCAGAGGACCTGGGTTCGATTCCCCGCATCCATATGGCAGTTATAAAGCATCTGTAACTCCAGTTCCAGGGGAATTTGATGCTCTCTTCTGACCTCCGTGGGCATTGCACAACATGAGTGCACTTACATACATGCAGGCAATACACTCAAACACATAAAATAAAAGTAATAAATAAAGTATTTTTTAAAAAAACCTCCACACTGTTTCCATAATGCCTGTACCAGTTTGTAGTCCCGTTAACTGAGAATTCCCCACATACTTGCCAATATTTTTCATCATTTGTTTTTTGGATGTCAGCCATTCTGACTGGGTTAAGATGAAACCTCAAAGTAGTTTTAATTTGCATTTTCCTGGTTGCTAAAGATACTGAACATTTAAAACTTCTCAGCCATTAGCATTCCATCCTTTGAGAACTCTCTGTTTAGTTCCTTGCCCCAGTTTTTAATTGGGTTTGGGGTTTTTTTAGTGCTTTTTTTTTTTAATTCTTTCTATATTCTAGACACTAACCCTCTGTCAAAGGTATGTCTGGTAAAGATTTTTTCCATTGTGCAGGTTTCCTCTTCACTCAAATGGTGGTGTCCTTTGGTGCACAGAAGCTTTTTAGTATCATGAGGTCCCATTTGCAAATTGTTGGTTTTAATGCATGCACTATTGAGGTCCTGTTCAAATGAACTTGCTATGTACACCAGGCTAGATTAGATCTCACAGAGATCTACCTGCCCCTGCCTCCCATGTGCTGGGATTAAAGTCAGTGCCAGCATACCCTGCCCAACTTATGAATTTTAATCTAGTTTATTTATATAAGAAAATATGTGACATTTGACACTTTCACGATACCAACAAGTACTTCAATCATAGTCGCCCGTCCACCTTCACGTGTCACCTCCCCCTTGCCACCTGTCTTCTCTCCCTGAGACCAGCCCCACTTCAACTGCCGCATATTACTTCATTTAGAGTCCATTTATACAAAGATGGTATTTGTCCTACTTAGTCTGGTTTATTTTTTTCAATTTTTTATTGAGCTTTAATTACGTACAACATTTTTCATTCAGGTGTTTGTACCTAAATGTCCTTTAGTGTAAATGTGTCCACTGGAGTCTAGTCAGCCCATCCCGTGGTCGTAAGTCATACTCTCCCTCACCAAGCAGCAATCAGTCTCCGGAAGTTCTCAATCTAGTTCTGGCCCACCACCTATTTCTCACCTCCCCTTTGGGCCCTTGTTTCATTGAGCAGAATGGGTCCTGCACTCGATGCCACAGCTACCACAGGCTCACATGAGCAAGCCTCCAGTGGCCTGGAAGCCTCCAACCCCCAATGTTCATGAACCAGCACTGGTTCTTACAATCTTTCCCCCTCCTCTTTCACAATGGTCCCTGAGCCTGACGTGAGTGACATTCCATACAGGAGTCCCATCCTACACTCTACAGTCCCTTATTCTCCAAAACTTGGCCAGTTGAGGCCTTCTGTGTGCATTGCATTCTGATGTACATGGAAGCCACACTGGTGAGAGTTGAGGGCTGCATTAGCCCTCTCTCTACCCCTTATTCCAAAATGTATTCATGGTTTATTTCTTAACATGAGGTCCTTCAGTTCCACCCATTTTCTTGAAATGACATCATTTCTTTTTTTCACTTTCATTGAATTTTTGCAAATTTCACACATTATATTCCGACGGTATGTAGACCCCCTACCCTAGGTGCACCCTCTCCTTAACACCCCCTCCCACTTTCATGTACTCCATTCTAGACACACGTACACGCACACACACACACACACACACACACACACAGAGGCCTATTGACTCAAATCTCTCTCCCCAAATGCCCTTCCTTGTGGGTCCATCCACTGTGGCCTGGTTAACCTACCAAGAGTCACACCCTTAAAGGAAACTGACTCTCTCCCAGCAGCTATCAGTTGCCAACACCATATGCAGGCAAAGAAATTTCCCAATGCCAGGAATGAACTCCCTCTTTTGAAACTGTTGACCAAGGGTCTCATAGTCCCTCAAACATTACTGGCCATTGCCCTGCCTCTTGGTTACCCACCAGACTTTGGCAGTAAGACCAAGGTCTGTATTGCTGAAGACACTACATACAAAACTATAGTCAGACAAGGGGAAATCAAGCTGGTATGGATTTCAAGCCTTCATCTCTACTGGCTAGCCTTCATACTACGTGAAGGTGCTACGCATGCTACAGGAAGAGAAAAGTAAACCAGTCTTGCCCAGTTGTGACTCCTGTGAACTACAATAACAACAGGCCTGGCAAGAAATACACGATTTCATTCCTGTTTACATTTACAGCTTCATAGAGCCTCATGTGATAAATTCTCTCTGTCCATTTATCTGTTGATGAACACACAGGCTGACACCATGTGTTCAGTATTGTGAACAGTTCAGCAACAATTGTAGATGTGCGAGTATCTCCATGGCGTGACGACTAAGCATGATGGAGCCACATCATAGAGGAGTCCTGGCTTTAGTCTTCTGAGGAATCTCCACACCGATTTCCACAGTGGCTGCATGAGTTTACATTCCCAGCAACAGAATACAAGGGCACCTTTTCCTCTAAGTCCTCACCAGCATTAATTACTTTGTGTTTTCTTGATGCTAGCTGGCAAGGACAAGATGGATGTGTCAGTACAGTCCTTTTACCATCAATTCCCCACCTAGTGCTGCTCTTCCTTATGTTCACTCTATGATCCCTTTCTTAAAACAATCCAATTGTCTCAAAAACGAAACTACAGAATACATTCATTTTGTAAGAGTCCCTGCTCAATGGAATCCGAGCATCCTGACCGAGTTTCACTTCTCAGAAAAGCTGATCTCTGCCCTGTAACCATGCCAAGTTTGTTCTGTCCTCTGCTCAGCCTTTAACCTTTCGCTTCTGAAATGCAGTTTCACCCCAAGGACTCAGTTCATTTGTACTGGTATTGGGTCTTCTTGTTTTAGGTTATCACTCAAAGTGGTGGCTTCATTGCGGCCTCGTGGCACATTACATTTGGGTCGTTACACGTGGGTGTCATTTGTGGGCATACCTCACTGTCTTCCACCATACACCGTTTCCCAGAAGATTGTTCCCTTTTTCCCCCCAGTCAGTTACTATTTCTGTAACTAAACATATTCTATTACCCTCTCAATTTTCTACCTCCACTTCAATTTTCATGATCAATAAACAAATACATATAAATACAAGTACAGTATTGGTTGTAGATCTTCACTGAATGTCTGGTAGAACTCTGCTGTGAATCCATCTGGACCTAGGCTTTTTTTTAGTCAGAAGGTTTTATATTACTGTAATATATAAATAACTCAGTTTCCTTATTTGTTAGGGGTCTGTCTAAGCCATTGATCTCTTCTTGGTTTAACTTTGGCAATGTCCATGATTTTAGAAATTCATCCACTTCTTTTAGATTTTCAGATTTAATGGAGTATAGATTTTTGAAGTATTCCCTTACAATGGTGATTTTTTTGCTGTCTGTTATGACTCCCTTTTCATCTCTGATTTGTTGATTTGGATTTGCTCTTTCTTTCCTTTGGTTAAGTGGACTACAGATCTGTCTATCTTGTTTAACCTTTCAAAGAACCAGCTCTTAGATGCATTGATTTTTTTGTATTGTTTTCTTTTTTAATATTTCATTGATTTCTGCTCTGATTTTTCTATTTTTCTCATCTACTAAGTTTAGAGTTGGTTTGTTCTCGCCTTTCCAGAGTCCTGAGTCATGCTGTTAAGTCATTTGCTTGTGGTCTTTCTGATTTTTTAATGTAGGCACTAAGAGCTATAAACTTCCCTCTTTGGACTACTTTTAAGGTGTCCCAGAGGTTTTAATGCACTGTGTTCTCATTTTCAACTTCACCCACCGACGGCTCGGGGACCGTTGTGGAAGAGAAGGCAAAAAGACTGTAAGAGCCAGGGCTGGTTCATGAACACAGGGAAGCAGAGGCTTTCAGGCCACTGGAAGTTTGTCATGTGAACTTGTGGCAATGGTGGCATTGATCACAGGACCCTCGTGGATGAATTTATACTGAAGGACATCTGGGTACAAATCCTTGACTGGATGGGACTTAACGTGTATGGCAGAACACATGAGGTCCAGTGTGGGGATCGGGGAGGCATGGATGGGTGCGGGAGTCTAAATTTGAACAAGAACCATTGTATAAAATTACAAAAGTTCAATGAAAAATTTAAAAATTAATAAATATAAGCACATATTTACACACATATTCGTAATTTTTCATCTATGCTCCATAAATGAATGAAAACATGTGGCTTTGCTTTCTGAGTCCGACTTGCTCCACCATGAACAAATGTTAAACGACCTAGGTGATGTGCTTGCTAACTACCATGATTGATCACTACCAACTGTATACGTGAGTCACAAGATAACCCTGTTCATGTATACACATGGTCAGGCCTTGTGGCAAATCCTGTGTATCATGGTGAGCACCTGCACGATTGTGTGAGTTCACAGCACATAAAGCCATTAGCACTGTTCTCACCATCTCTTGCCGTGCAGCCAGCACAGAGCAGGAGCCTCTGCATATTTCTCCTGGTGGGAGGATCAAGACAAAGCTCACAAAATCAACTTACAACCACCATTCATTTTCTTAAACATACTGTGTCGAATCTCCACACTGATTTCCATAGCGGCTGCACTAGTTTGAACTCCCACCAGCAGTGGATAAGAGTCCCCCTTTCTCTACATCATTGCCAACATTTGTTTATTTGGCGGGGGGTCTTAGTCATTCTGGCTGGGGTAAGAAGAAATCCCAAAGTGGTTTTAATTTGCATTTTCTTTCACAACTGAAAAGGTTGGGCCATTTTCAGTTCATCTTTAGAGAACTCCTTGATCATCTCCTTGTCCCAATTTTTTTTTTTTTTTTGGTCTTTTTGAGACAGGATCTTCCTGTAGCCCCAGCTGTCCTGGAACTCACTATGTAGACCAGGCTGGCCTCAAACTCACAGAGATCCACCTGTCTCTGCCTCCCAAGTGCTAGGACTACAGGAGTGCACCACCACA